GAAGGAGATAGAGACACAAAAAACCCTTCAAAAAATCAATAAATCCAGGAGCTGGTTTTTCGAAAAGATCAACAAAATAGACCACTAGCCAGATTAATAAAAAAGAAAAGAGAGAAGAATCTAATAGATGCAATAAAAAATGATAAAGGGGATATCACCACAGATTCCACAGAAATACAAACCACCATCAGAGATTACTACAAACAACTATATGCATATAAACCAATAAACCTGTAAGAAATGGATAAATTCCTGGACATTTGTATCCTCGCAAGCCTAAACCAGGAAGAAGTTGAAACCCTGAATAGACCAATAACAAGAGCTGAAGTTGAGGCAGCAATTAATAGCCTACCCACCAAAAAAAGCCCAGGTCCACATGGGTTCACAGCCGAATTCTATCAGACATAAAAAGAGGAGCTGGTACCACTCCTTCTGAAACTATTCCAAACAATCCAAAAAGAGGGAATCCTTCCCAAATCATTTTATGAGACCAACATCATCCTGATACCAAAACCTGGCAGAGACTCAACAAGAAAAAAAAACTTCAGGCCAATATCCATGATGAACATAGATGCAAAAATCTTCAATAAAATCCTGGCAAACCAATTGCAACAGCACACCAAAAAGCTTATCCATCACAATCAAGTAGGCTTCATCCTGGGAATGCAAGACTGGTTCAACATACGCAAGTCTATAAATGTAATCCACCACATAAACAGAACCAAACACAAAAACCACATGATTATCTCAACAGATGCAGAGAAGGCCTTTGACAAAATTCAACAGCACTTTATGCTAAAAACCCTCAATAAACTTGGTATTGACAGAATGTATCTCAAAATAATAAAAGCTATTTATGACAAACCCACAGCCAATATCATACTGAATGGGCAAAAACTGGAAGCATTCCCTTTGAAATCTGGCACTAGACAAGGATGCCCTCTCTCACCACTCCTACTCAATATAGTATTGGAAGTTCTAGCCAGAGCAATCAGGCAAGAAAAAGAAATAAAGCATATTCATTAGGAAAGGAGGAAGTCAAATTGTCTCTATTTGCAGACGACATGATTGTATATCTAGAAGACCCCATCGTCTCAGTCCAAAATCTCCTCAAACTGAAAAGCAAGTTCAGCAAAGTCTCAGGATACAAAATCAATGTGCAAAAATTACAAGCATTCCTATACACCAATAACAGACTTAAAGAGAGCCACAACAAGAACGAACTGCCATTCACAATTGCTACAAAGAGAATAAAATACCTGGGAATACAACTAACAAAGGATATAAAGGACCTCTTCCAGGAGAACTATAAACCACTGCTCAATGAAATAAGAGGACACAAACAGATGGCGAAACATTCCATGTTCATGGTTAGGAAGAATCAATACCATGAAAATGGCCATACTGCCCGAAGTAATTTACAGATTCAACGCTATCCCCATCAAGCCACCAATGACCTTCTTCACAGAACTGGAAAAAACCACCTTAAACTTCATATGGAACCAAAAGACAGCCCACATAGCCAAGTCAATTCTAAATTAAAAAAAAAAAAAAAAAAGCGGGAGCCATCAAACTACAGGACTTCAAACTATACTACAAGACTATAATAATCAAAACAGCATGGTACTGGTACCAAAACAGAGATACAGAGCAATGGAACAGAACAGAGGCCTCGGAGGTAATGCCACACATCTACAACCATGCGATCTTTAACAAACCTCACAAAAACAAGCAATGGGGAAAGGATTCCCTGTTTAATAAATAGTGTTGGGAAAACTGGCTAGCCATGTGCAGAAAGCAGAACCTGGAACCCTTGCTGACACCTTACACTAAAATTAACTCCAGATGGATTAAAGGGTTAAACATAAGACCTAACACCATAAAAACCCTAGAAGAACCTAGGCAAAACCATTCAGGACATAGGCACAGGCAAGGACTTCATGACTAAAACACCAAAAGCATTGTCAACAAAAGCCAAAATAGACAAATGGGACCTAATTAAACTCCAGAGCTTCTGCACAGCAAAAGAAACAATCATTAGAGTGAATCGGCAACCAACAGTATGGGAAAAAATTTTGCAATATACCCATCTGACAAAGGGCTAATATCCAGAATCTACAAAGAACTAAAACAGATTTATAAGAAAAAAACAAACAAGCCCATTCAAAAGTGGGCGAAGGATATGAACAGACATTTTACAAAAGAAGACATATATGAGGCCAACAAACATATGAAAAAGTGCTCATCATCACTGGTCATCAGAGAAATGCAAATCAAAACCACATTGAGGTACCATCTCACACCAGTTAGAATGGCGATCATGCTGGAGAGGATGTGAAGAAATAGGAACACTTTTACACTGTTGGTGGGAGTGTAAATTAGTTCAACCATTGTGGAAGACAGTGTGGTGATTCCTCAAGGACCTAGACATAGAAATTCCATTTGACCCAGCAATCCCATTACTGTATATATATCCAAAGGATTATAAATCGTTCTATTATAAGGACACATGCACATGAATGTTCATTGCAGCACTGTTTACAATAGCAAAGACTTGGAACCAACCCAAATGCCCATCAATGATAGACTGGACAGGGAAAATGTGGCACATATACACCATGGAATATTATGCAGCCATAAAAAACGATGAGTTCGTGTCCTTTGTAGGGGCATGAATGAACCTGGAAACCATCATTCTCAGCAAACTGACACAAGAGCAGAAAATCAAACACTGCATGTTCTCACTCATAGGCGGGTGTTGAACAATGAGAACACATGGACACAGGGAGGGGAGCATCACACACAGAGTTCTGTCAGGGGGAACTAGGGGAGGGACAGCAGGGGTGGGGAGTTGGGGAGGGATAACATGGGGAGAAATGCCAGATATAGGTGATGGGGAGGAAGGCAGCAAACCACATTGCCATGTATGTACCTATGCAACAATCTTGCATGTTCTTCACATGTACCCCAAAACCTAAAACACAATAAAATATATATATATATATATTTATATATATATTTATATATATATATTTATATATATATATTTATATATATATTTATATATATATAAATTTATATATATATATATAAATCAATGATATTCACCACATTGTAATGGATTGAAGGAGGAAAAATATATGAAAACCTATGAGTTCTATGGAACAAAAAAGGGTGCAGAGAGAAGCTTTAAGAACACCTACATAGATGAGGGGATATACTATGAATAAATATTGGAGGAACAAATGTGATATGGAGTCAATTTCTTTTTTTTTTTTAATATAAGATGGGGTTTCACCATATTGGTCAGACTGGTCTCAAACTCCTGACCTCAGGTAATCCACCTGCCTCGGCTTCCCAAAGTGCTGGGATTACAGACGTGATCCACCACCCCCGGCCATTGATGTCAATTTCAATCAAAAATTCAAAAGATGTTTTGCGGAACTTGTCAAGTGAGTCTAAAATGTATTGGGAAGTATTAAAAACCAAGATAGCCAAGACACTTTTAAGGAAAAACAAGCTGGGAGAACTTATTCTGCTAGATGTGAAGACCTATTATAAACAGAAATTCAGACAGTGTGGTATTGACTCAAAGATAGGAGATTAGAATGGAATAGAATAGAAAGCCCAGAAAGGACTCTTGCATACACAAACATTTGCTATCTGGCCAAAGTGGCACTGCAGAGCAGACAGGAAAGGACATTCTTCTGAATAAATGACACTTAGATGTCCATACGAAGAAAAAGTTAAATTGGATCCCTACTTCACACCACACTCTAAAGTAAATTCCAGGTTGGCTAATGACCTAAACAGAAAAGACAAAGTCTGAAAGCTTTAAATAATTAGAAAGTTACAAAGCTCTTAGGACCTTGAGGGAGGGGAAAATTTAAACAAAACTTAAAAAGTATTAGCTACAAAGTGGGGGAAAAGCTATAAAGAGAGTAAAAACAAAGCCATGATAGGAGAAGATATTTCCAAAATAAAGAATTCTAAATAGAGGGACTATATAAAGAACTACAAATCAATATGAAAGAAGCTACACCATCAAGGGAGATGAAAGTTGACTACAAATTCTTTGCTCTTCTTCTCATTGAAAGGTGGAATCAAATTCCCCTTTCCTTGAATCTAGGCTGGCCTTACTGACTTGCTTGACTGAAAAAACACATCTGAGACATTCAACACTAGGTCAGAAGAGGCCCTGCACTTCCATCCAATGCTTGCAATGCTTGTTCTGGAGTCCATCTGACACTGTCCTGCTGTGAAGAAGCCATTCCCCAGCTAGCCTTGCCCCCAGCCATTGAGTCATCACAGCTGAGGACAAATCCTGCTCAACTTGAAGACCCATGAGCAAAAGAAATTAGTGCTGCTTTTTCCGGACACAAAATTTTGGAGTGGTTGGTGATGTAGGAGTACATAACCAGAATAACAACTTAATAGAAAAATGAACAAAGCGTTTGAACAGGCACTTTTCAAAAGAAAAAAATCATTTGTGATTAGAGAGATACAATTTAAAACTAGAATGAGATGCCATTACACATCCCTCAGAATATGGAGTGTAAAATCACGTATCCACTTTGGAAAGAATTTGGCATCACCTATTCCACCTGCTGATACACATGCCCTCTGACCCACTCTACCCTAGGGAGTCTCCTGGACAAGAGCACACGAGACAGACCTACCAATGTTCACAGGAGCACTATTTATGAAAGGCGGAATCTGCAAACAACCCAAACTTCCATCTTAGTGGAATAAGTAAGTAGATCATTGCTATATGTTTCTACAATGGAGGCCTATGCAGCCGTGAAAATGAAGAAGCTGGCAGTTCGGCAGTCCCTCAGATCTGTCTCTTGCTTCAACAGTGTTTGGAAGGAACAGATCCCGGGGACTTTCTTCCAGCCTCTGACAGCCCTCTGATTTCCCATCCACTTGCAACCTCCAGGACCATCTTCTCGCCATCTCCTGCTTCTGGGGACCTGCTAATACCATTTTTGTGGTTAGCTTTTTGCCGACCAACCATGCGCTTCCAGATTCATCAGAATTATTCCACTGAGGTGGAGGCAGCCGTCAGCCGCCTAGTCAATGTGTACCTGCAGGCCTCCTACACCTACCTCTCTCTGGGCTATTTCGACCATGATGATGTGGCTCTGGAAGGCGTGGGCCGCTTCTTCCGCGAATTGGCCGAGTAGAAGCGCAAGGGCTACGAGCGTCTCCTGAAGATGCAAAACCAGCGTGGTGGCCGCACTCTCCTCCAGGACATCAAGAAGCCAGCTCAAGATGAGTAGGGTAAAATCCTGGACGCTATGGAAGCCGCCATGGCCCTGGAGAAAAATCTGAACCAGGCCCTTTTGGATCTTCATGCCCTGGGTTCTGCCCCCATGGACTCCCATCTGTGTGACTTCCTGGAGAGTCACTTCCTAGATGAAGAAGTGAAAATCATCAAGAAGATGAATGACCACCTGATCAAGCTCTGCAGGCTGGCCGGCCCACAGGCTGGGCTGGGCGAGTATCTCTTCCAAAGGCTCACTCTCAAGCACGGCTAAGAGCCTACTGAGCCCAGTGACTTCTAAAGGGCCCTTGCAAAATAACAGGGCTTCTGCCTAAGCCTCTCCCTCCAGCCACTAGGCAGCTTTCTAACTACCCTAACAAGCCTTGGACCAAATGGAAATAAAGCTATTTGAAACAAAAAAAAAAGAAAATGAACAAGCTAAAACTATAGAAAACATGAATACTATTTACAAACATGACACTGAATAAAAGACAACACCATACCAGAACAACAACAAAAAAAAAACATATGTAGTGGCCTTCTATTCAAATGAAGTTAAATAACAACCAGTACAATTTAGAAATACACTGAGATAGTAAAAAACTAATTTTTAAAATATTATCAGTGTCAGCTGGGCATGGTGGCACATCCCTGTAATCTCAGCATTTTGGGAGGCCGAGATGGGAGGATCACTTGAGGCCAGGAGTTTGAGACCAGCCTGGGCAACATGGTGAAACCCCCTCTCTACTAAAAATATTAACACAAAAAATAAGCCAGACACAGTGGCACACATCTGTAATCCCAGCTACTTTGGAGGCTGAAGCAGGAGAATCACTTGAACCCAGGAGGCGCAGGTTGCAGTGAGCCAAGATGGTGCTACTGCAGTCCAGCCTGGGAAACAGAGCAAGACTCTGTCTCAAAAATAAAAGTAAAATAAAATATTATCAACGTAGCCAGAACGGTGGTTATATCTAGTGTAGAAGGAAAGGATTATGATTGCAGAGGAGCACTGGGAAGATGTTTGAGGTGTTAATACCCTTAATTTTTTTTTAACTTGGGTGATGGTTATGTAGTACCTACTTTAGTCGCAAAATGGTATATTTGTGTTTTGTGCGCTTTTCAGTAAATATTGTTAATGTAAGGGAAAAAAGGAGAACGTCCACAAGCTTCACCTAGCTGCAGCGACATGCACATAATTTGCGCCGTCCTGCCCATTGCTGTGGGTAAAGCACCCCTGACAACTAACACTAGACCTTGTTCTGCCAGGCCTCCCCCTCCTGTGTCAGTGAGCCTGCCTCTGCAGGACCTGCACTCACATCTCCCTCCAGATGCTCCCCATCTTCCCTTCAAAGCCTACGCTGTGGGAAGGCTTGTCTAGACTCATTGTCTCCAGCTGTTCTCTTCTCATTCTCTCTTGAACTCACTCCAATTAAGTGTTCCTCCCACCATTCACCCACACTGCTCTATCAAGATCACTAATGACCTCATGGTGTCACATCCAGTGGTCACCTCTCATTCCTCCTCTTGACCTGTCAGCAGCATTTGGGACAGGTGAGGAGCCCCCTCTTAAACACTCTCTTCACCTGGCTGGAGGGGCCTTCTCCTGCCCTCCTGGTTTTTCTCCAGCCTTCCTGGCTGCTCCAGCTCAATCTCCTCAGTCCCTCCTTCTCCTATCTCCCCTACCCACCTTTCCTCGGTCACTCTCTGGATGATCTCATCCAGTTCCAATGCTTTAAAATGCCATCTCTACGTTTATGACTCCCAAATCTTGATTTCCAGCCCACCACCCCCAACTCTCCCCCTGTGAAGTCCTGCCTCACTGACACAGCCAGCATCTAACTAGCATCTCCACTTAAAGTCGGAATATTCATCTTCAACGAGAGGTAGCCAAAAATGAGCTCCACATTTTTCCACCCCCAAACCGGCTTCTCCTACAGCCTTCTCGATCCCGGCAACTTCCATCCTTTCTGAAGTTCAGGCAAAAAACCTGAGAGTCATCCCTGACTTTCTGTTTTCCTCCTCCCACCCCCAAGCCACTCCCACAGCCAAGCCAGTAGCAAATCCTGTCTGCTTTGGCTTCGATAAAGATCCAGAATCCAGCCCCTTCTCGCTCTGTCGAGACCACCACTGAGGCCTCCTGCCTCATTGCAAGAGCTCCTAATTGGTCCCGGGATCAGGTGCCCTCACAGAATGTTCGCAGCAACAGCAGCCAGACTGACTCAGCTACACAGCGTGTCGTGTTCTGTCTCTCCTCTGCTGAGAACCTTTGGCCTCCCACCTCCCTTAGGGGAAAAGCTCCCTCCATAGTAGGGTTTATTCTCTATCCTCATCCCTCAGCCTCTCACCTCTGCCTCAGCACAGTGGCCTACATATTTGTGCCTCTTGAACACACCTTTGCACCTACCGGTTGCTCTACCTGGCAAGCTTCTCCCCCAGACAGATACCTGATTTCAAGTTTTCACTCGCTTGCCCTTCTCAGGAAAGCCTCCCAGACCACCCTACTTAAAACTGCAGGTCCTCTTTCCTGCTATGTGTTTTCCCCTAAGGAGTATGACCACCTAACAGTCTATGCTTTTTTAAAACCTACTTGTGGCGGGGCACGGTGGGTCACGCCTGTAATCCCAAAACTTTAGGAGGCTGAGGCGGGTGGATCACTTGAGGTCAGGAGTTTGAGACCAGCCTGGCCCTGTCTACCAAAAATACAAAAAAGTAGCCAGGAGTGGTGGCTCACGCCTGCAATCCCAGCTACTCAAGAGGCTAAAGCAGGAGAATCGCTTGAACCCCGGAAGCAGAGGTTGCAGCGAGCTAAAATTGCACCACGGCACTCCAGTCTGGGCATCAGAGCGAGACCCGTCTTAAAACAAAATAAAAACCTATTTTATTGTTACCAATCTCCCCACACTACACTCTAAGCTCCAGGCGGTATACTCAGTACCTATAATGGTGCCTGGCACGTGGAAGGGGGTCAGTCGACGTTAATTAAAGGAATGAGGGCGACTTGCACACGCTGCATAGTAAAGCGGAGGAGAACCTGCACCAGGCCTCTCTGGCCGCGATCCTGAGAAGAACCAGCCGGTAAAACCAGGAAATGAGAAGGGGCGGGGCCCGGTGGGCGGGGCCAGTGCTGGGAAGCCCCGCCCCGTTCCGCCCCCGGATCGGGAGCTCTCTGGTCTGGCCGTTAGGATTCTCTCAGTCCCCGAGGAACGCCGGCCCCGCAGGGCTCGGGGAGAGCCGCTGGGCCCCTTCTCCCAGGTCCGGGGAGCGCAGGGCCTCGCCGGGCCCGCTGGAGAGACAGAGCGCCGGGGTCACCGCTGCCGCCGGGGGGCGACAGAGCCAACTGGGTGCTGGCGGCTGCGGAGCTGCCGGGCCCGGGCCTGAGGCCGCCTCCCACCCTGGCCTCGCGCCCCTTCCTGATCTGACCCACCACTGCGGCCCACTAGGCTGACAGCGCCCGGGACGCCTGGCGAGGCGTCTGGGAGGATCTGCGTGATCAGGGTGGAGGGACCTTGGGGGCAAGCTGAAGAATGGGTTAATATACAGGCAAAGAGCTAGGAGGTGTCTGGGCCTGGGGCGTGTGAAGCTGGGGGGGAGGGGGGGCGTTCTTTGGAGGAGCAGACAGAAGGCCAATGTGATTGGACTCGCCAGGAGGGCTGCTGGGGGGAGGAGGGGCTCAAGGCCCCAATGAGGTTTTGGGCTTTTCCCCAAAGTGGCAGTGATCCTTTTAATTGTTCGTCACCAGAGAAGCAGGATCAAACTTGTCTTGCAAACACCTCCTACTTGGGTAGAAGGGAAAGGGAAGTGAAAATCATGAGTCGGACAGGGCCAGAATTGGCCTGGACCAGGGGAGTGGGGGCAAGTGTAGAGAGGGATAAATATATTTTTGGAGTTAGAATCGATGGGACCTGGGGATGAGTTAATTGCACGTGGGGGTAATAAAGAAAGAGCAGCCAAAACAGACCTCAGGGTTCTGCCTTAAGCAGCTGCAGAGAAGAACTGCCACTTCAGGAAGGGGGAGAGGTCATTCCAGAAGGCAGTTTGGCGCCATTAAACCTTTGACACTCATGAGATTACAGCAAATCTGTTCCAATACTTAAGCCACTGGAAGAAACCACTTACCAGGGAATTTCCAGCGAAGTTGCCTGTAGAGGATCTTTCTCCAGATCACAAAAAATGCTGCCATGCCTGGTGGGGCTGGACTCTGTCTATGCTGGGTTTGGGCCTGGATAAATGTTGCAGCCAGCCTTGATTCTGGGGAGAGGTATTTAAGAATGGGAACATAAAGGCAGCAGCAAATGAGATTGTCACATGCATGTGGCCATGGCAGTCCATCCACTGCCTGCCTGGCCCTGTGGCCCTGTGTGCCCAGCCCAAGGAGCCAACCCTGCCGGCTGCTGTCCACTGAGGAGGCAGCAGGCCTGGCTGAAGCTGGCACTGTGGCTATGACCCTATTGAACCAAAACTGTCTGGGTTTGTAATCCCAGCTCCACCTCCTGCTACCTGCATGGCCTTGGTCAAGTTTCTGTCTGTTTCTTCATCTGTAAAGTGACAATTCTAACGTCTAGGACATATGATTGCAGTGAGACACTCACGATGTTATAAAGGATTTACTACTTGATTAGGAAGAACCATGAGCCTGTGGGGACCAGCTTGGAGTGCAGCCACAGATTCCTTAACAAGCTTATTGGATTTTTAAGTAACTTTTTTTTTTTTTTTTTGCTTCCCAGGCCAGATGGAGCTGTCACACCGGCAGGTGGCACACAGAGGAGGGGTCAGACTGGAAGACACCCGAGTAGGACAGGATGCTGGTGCCTTGAGAGTAGAGGCACCACCCTGGATTGGGCTTCTCAGCCCTCACAGAGCACTTACATCACCTGGGAGTGTTGGAAAAATACCAGCAACCCTGGCCCTCCCCTGAATTCGATCAGTCTGGGCATCAGCATTTTGCAGAACTCCCTAATGATTCTCGAGCAAAGCTAAGATTGAGAACCTCAGGTCTTGGGAGGTCAGGTGGAGAGAGAAGGGCAGCAGCTGAGCAGCTGAGCAGGGGCAGGGAAGGGTCGGGTACAATTTTAGAGGCCAGGCTGAGGAGGAGTGAGCAAGGAGACTGAGACCGTCTTGCCCTGGTGTGGGAGTGAATCCAGGAGCAAACTGAAGAGCCTGGAGCTTGAAATAATGAAAGAGGCGGAGCAAGGGACTGCAGAAGTCAAGGGCTGAGATGTGGTGATTCCCTGTGGCCCCGGGAGGCCCCTGATGACCTTAGCATACAGGATGGTAGGTGGAGATAAAAGCCAAAATGGAGAGTAGAGGCACCAACTGTGATTAGAAGACACCTGTCCATAGAAACAGGAAGGGGAGGAGACAGTAGCAGGAGGGAGTTATAGAGTCAAGGGAAGTTTAGTTTGGTTTCTTTTTAGGGCCTCCTGGG